ATTTTGAACCTCACCTGGCAACATATTGGGAGCCAGTGCAGCTTGTGTAGTGGTGTCGCATGGGCATAACGAGCTGTGCCCATAATGACCCATTCAGGACGAACTGAAACTCCCCAATGGTCTTCAAGGGCAGCCCCATATAGAGTGCACTGTAATAATCCAATCGGGAGGTGACTAGGGTGTAAGTGACCATGAGATGGTGACTTGCCAACAGTTGTGAGTTTTTCGACTTCAAGCAGTTTCCTGCTCTGTTCCAGATTGGGGGTTTTTTCCTCCAAAGTTGGTTCTGCCAGTTGGCTGTCCTAGGATTTCATCACCTCCAGACTGGACTTTCATAGGTGGAAAGGAACTGCCATTGTTCAGACCCAGAGTTTTTCTGGGCCACCTCCAGGCCCTTTATAGCTTCATTCTCTTGGGATGCCCCATTGTTGGCCCCGTGGAAAAGCTATGAGATTCCAGAGATTTCTGAACATAGAAGAGTGAACTCAGAACATCGGCAGCCAGCCAATCTGCATTCCACAGCAGCTACTTCTGATCGTTACAGACGTCTCCCTTGGCCCTGGTTTGGGAAAGAGGGAGGGAAGGCTGGGAGAAGACAGGTCCTTGCCTTCTCCTGAATCCACAGAACTTGCTTGCTCATCTCCCACTTGGCAGAGACAGGAGAAGCCAGCAAGGACTAGAGCAGCTCTAGATCTGGGCTATAAGGGTTAGCCATATCATAAGAGGATGTCCACTCCCCCAGGTAGGTTCTCCTTGATGTGTACTATATATGGAACAAAACTTTAGCCTGGGCAGACACCATTCACAAAGGTTGACTAGTCTCTGGCATTTCCCAGCATGTAGCAGAACACCATCATTAATATGCAATTGTGTCTTTAATGGAACAGTAATCTTAAGTAATTGGGAAATTACTTACCTGAGCATGGTAACTATCCACATGTCATGTCATGACTTACAAGAACAGGAAGAAGCAGCCAGGTAGTAACAATCTTTACCAGCCTTGTGGAGACAGCAACAGGGATCAGCTGGCAGAACTGGTTTCCGTGGCAAGAGTCACCTGTTTCTCCTGCAGGGCTGCCTATGAAAAGAGACGACTTGTAGAAGGATGAACGCGGCTCGAGGGAGGCAGTTGAGGGGCTGTCCGTATACCTGAGTGAGCTCCTCTAGGAGAACCTCTTCAGCCAGACAGGACGAGTGCTGAGATGACCCAGGAACAAGACCTGTGTTGCACCTCCAGTCCCAGGATGCTTGTGATGTCACGTGCAAGAATTTGTGCAGCGCAATGCCTTTAGGAGACTTGATCTCATAGACCTGAAGGTCTGCACCAGTAAGGTGACTGAACTGTACTGGGGTCTCCTCCACATTCTCCTACCTGGATAAGGGAATCAGCTGTCTTTGCTCAGCCACTCCAGGACCCAGCCCTGTCCATCTGCTCCTATTCTTGTTCTGCATTGCTGGCTCACCCCCATTTTTTGTTCATCTGTTCTTGCCTTTGCCTGTATCCTGACTTTCAATGAGACCTTCTGGTTGTTCCGGGTTGCCCACCTTGAACAACAAACTCTCTTCTTGCTTTGCTGGCCATGATCTCTCTCTATAGCAGCATTCATCAGAAGACTGGATCTCATGCTTCTCTGGAACCCGCAAGCTTGCAATCCGCAGAGCACATTCTGGGAAGAGAAACCCAGAGGCCTCCCTTTCCTCTGCCAGGCAGGTGTCTCATCTCTTCAGCTCCCCACTCCCAGCGACCCCAGTCTTGTTCATGTTCTTGGCTCTGCTTTGCAGACTGGGGCCAATGGAGAACTGAGTGTTCCTGGGCCATTGTGGCCACTAGCTCATCTGCAAACTCTGGACCAGTGTTTCCATGAGAGTTTTGCCCACGTGGCCTCCTGGTCCCTCCCAGCCCAACCAGTGAAATTCAAGCGGCCTTTCACGATGGTCAGCAACAGTGACTAGCATGCGTTGTTGCTCAAGGTGACATGGAGGGGGGAATGTTGCAAAGGGAGGAAACACGGCTGGAGAGATCAGGATTACACCCCTTCTTTCCAGTAGAAGAGAATCTCTGTGGCTCAGGGTTGAATTGTGGGGTTTGCTCAATCAAGCAGACAAACTATCAAGCACAAAACAATACCCTAACCAAAGAACTACCAAGGAGAAAACCACACCCCACCAACACTGGCCCAGCAAGCTACAGTACTGTACAGAAACAGGAAGCAAACGCCACACTCACTAGCACAGATGTTGTTACCTGGTTGGGTAAGGAAACGTCTGCAAGGAAACAACTAAGCACAGAGAGCACCAAGGACTCTACCTCTTCTTTAGATGGTTCACACAATATATTCAATAAATCTCAGTGACTGCATTCCCCAAGTGTGCTTGGCCAAACAAATGTGACTATGACTTCATGGGAGGGCCTGGTTTGTACCACTTGCTGATTCCCACATTACAGGTAGTCCTTGACTTATGACCATTCGTTTAGCAACCATTCAAAGTTACGACAGTGCTGGAAAAAGTGACTTTGGTGAAACTAGTCCTCACGCTTATGACCATCGAAGCGTCCCCACGGCCATGTGATCAGATTTTGGGCGCTTGGCAACTGGCATATGTTTACAATGGTTGCAGCATCCCGGGGTCACATGATCACCTTCCCAGCCAGCTTCCAACAAGCAAAATCAATGGGGAACTGTGTGATTCACTTAATGGCCACATGATTCACTTAACAACCACATAATTCACTTAAT